GTGCTCTGGTCCATGGGGTCACGAAGAGTCGGAGGCAACTAAACGACTAAACAACATTCATCTCCACCCATTTCCAGGTGGCCCATAGATCACTGACTAAATGCAATACAATTTGTATATGTATTGTGCTTGCACGCCACCAGCAAGCCAGAAGCCCACAGTACATGGAGGAGAACTCTTCATAAGGATCCCCAATCTTCAGCTGCTCATGCAATGTACAGCAAGACAGGTAATGAAGCACCATTAGGTCACCATTCATAAAGATGCCTGTTGCACAAGCACACCTATAGATATATATATTTTTGTTACAGTATTGTTGTGGAAGAGACCTCTTCGTGACATCACAAAGGCCATATCACTGTGATGTGACTAGTGGCTATTCTTGAGACAACACAGAGGTCTAATCCCTGGTGTCAGATGTTGGCCTAAAAACATCTGTTGACCAGGAACCTTACTAGTCTCAAACTGCTTTCACCTTGATTTAATTTAATTAAACCCAAAATAGCTACATCCAAGACATGTTCCACCTACCTCCAGTCACTGTCATTGAGATTCTTTTTCCTCTTTATTCCATCCAGCCTCTAAGATTCCATTTTCTTTTAAAGGGGCAGTTATCTGTGTTGCCATGATAGACAGATGCTGGATGAAAGGAAGGGGTATGAGAGAAGATGAAAGGTTCGTTCAGTCATCAGTTGATGGAAGCGAGTTCTGATGATGCCAAATCAAGGCCATACCAAAATGGCATTCTTCCATTACATGTAGTGATAAACGGAGGCTCTGAAAATGTTCTGTTAAGTCTGCCCTTGTGAAAAGAGATTAACTAGAAGGAAGAGAGATTCACAGAAATAATGGACAGACTAGTAATAAACACCATGATTTTCTATAATAATATTATTTTAACTTAAACCACAATCAGATAGTGCTCATGTATTATGATTACAAATATTTAGGTACATATAAAGTAAGCTCGGTTCTAATAATGCAGGTGTAACATAGTCCTTTCTTTTGCTTATCTGTTTGTCAAAAGCGATTCAAGCCATTGTTTCCTTGTTACATAAATTTGAATACTGTACACTCCCAGAAGTCTGGGTAACTTCCCAACAGTTTTGCCAACTTGAGTCCCTGTTTTATTATCTTTATCCAGGAAGCGTGTGTTGCTTTTTATAAATACTATGGCTTCGAAGCTAATACATGGAAAGCTTCATCTAATGATAAGTAAGCATGGGCTATGCTGCAGGAATCCCTGCCCCGCCTCCTCGTCTAAGTGGGCAGCTGCTGGAGGAGGCAGGAAAGGGAAGTCCATGCTCCTTCCCGGACTGGAAGATCATGTGACAAGGAGGGAAAGAGCAGCATGCATGGGTGGTGAGTGGAGGAGCCAGCTAGGGGGTGGGCAGGGAACACACAGCACCTGGCAACTTTAGATGTCTCAGCATGAAGTGATTCATGCCCATTTAATCTCCAGAATAGAATAGAATAGAAGCTAATGCTTGCCTATCAGGAATAAAATACCTTTATTTCCATCCTTTTAGGGAGGGAATTTTAGCTCAAGCAAACATCTGGGTTAAACAAGTCTTTGTTCGACGCTGCTGTTCTGATCATATTTGGCCTTTCACTGTGCTGGTGTTCAGATGAAACTGTCAAGAGAGCCCGTCATAGATCGTTGGTACAACAGGTTATTTTCTCTGAAGAACCATTCGTAGTAATCAAAGGGGTTCAGTGTAGTTAGTTATTGGGTTTAAAGCCAGGGTCTACAATGGAGTGACAAAGTGCTCACCAGATGTTCTGTTCCAGAAGCTCCTAACATTCTTCACTGTGGTCAACAAACATCCTGAGGGTCACTTAATATCAGCAGGCCATATCAAATGGGGAAAGCCTGTCTCCTTGCACCCATTGACAAACATACACATTAACCACTGAGAGTCTTTGTTTTAAGCCTGATGTTTACTCTCACTGAGGAAAATGGAGAACAGATTAATGATTGAATGCAAAATGGTGACAGTTCCATGTAGCTGCCTTTTAGGAGAAGATTTTCATCATCAGGAGCCCAGTGAGCATTTGCGGAAGGAAGCTGAAGGACTGAGTACCCCTAGAAACCTGTGGTGAACAGGTAGCCTTCTGAAAATTGCCCATCAAGAGGTCAGTTTTGCTTTTTAACAGAACACAGAAGGACCTAGATGTGCAACCTTTCAGGACACTGTAAATGTGTAGACCACCTGGGAATGGAAGATAAGATGGCTTGATCAGACAACTCATCATTGCCAGTAACTCCCCTCCAGATGAACCTTAAGGTAAAGGTAAAGGTTCCCCTTGACATTTAGTCCAGTCGTGTCCAATTCTAGGGCATGGTGCTCATGGCTCTATGGCTTGGAGCCGGGGATGAGCACCTCCCCCTAGAGTCGGATGCGACTAGACTAAAATGTCAAGGGGAACCTTTACCTTTTAGGCCTCACCTTGAGTACTGTGCTCAGTTCTGGACATTATACTTTAAGAAGGATGTCAACAAACTGAAGCCAATCCAGAGGAGGGCAACAAGGACTGATAACCAAGCCCTATGAGGAAAGACTGAAAAAGTATTTAGCCTTGAGAAAGGAAGACTGAGGGGAGATCTGATAGGACTTTTCGAATACTTGAAAGCTACTCATAAAGAGGAGGGGCAAGATCTGTTCTTGATCATCCCAGAGTGCAGGGCACACAGCTATGGGCTCAAGCTACAGGATGACAGATCTAGGTGAAATATCAGGGGGGGAAAATCATAACTGCTAGAGCAGTACAACAGTGGAACCAATTTCCCCAGGAGGTAGTGAGCACTCTAGCGCTAAAGGTATTCAAGAGAAAATTGGACAACTGTCAGATCTGGTTTGACGGATTCCTACATTTAAGAGGGGGCTGGATTCATTGGCCTTATAGGCTCCTTCAACTCACTTGTTCTTTGAATCTGTGATTCTATGCCTTTGCTGCTCTATACTTGTAGACAACCTGAGTAGGTGAAAC